AAGAGAATGTTTCCCCAATCATGTAGTCAACTCCTTCTTCTTTGCTCCAGCGAACTTGCTCCTCAAACATGGCTCTCACTCTCTCCTCTGTCTCCCCCTTTACGTAAATGTTTGTATTCGAAATCCCTCCGGCAAAAAGGAGGCACTTCTCTTCTGCTACTTCACGTGCAATTTTCAAAGCGATTCGGTTAATTTTCTCAAGATCGTCCTCCCTCCCTATCTCTCTCATCTTCTCTCTGTGAGTGTAGTACTACATAACAAAAGAGAACAAAGAGATTAGAGGTATCACAACAAAAGCAACCACTAAAAAATAACTGCAATACAGCAATGTTACTATGCATGAGGCTATGTTAGCATAGCACTAAAACAAAGCATGCAATCTGCTTGCTGTATATAATCAACATTAAATAGAAATTAATGTGATAAATTTTCAAGCATCTACCTGGAATGCTTCCATGACATCAGATCCAGCATGTGCCATTTCGTAATGGACGCTCTTCAGTACTGCAGGGTCCTCTAATATGAATTCAGGGACCCACACCCCGTGTGTGATGTACCCTCGACGACTCAGAGCAAGGAGATATCCTTCAGCACAGAGAATGCTCTCTCCAGCATTCAGCCTTTCCTGTAGTCCTCGGCTCTTGTTTAAACTGTAACTTCTACTTGTTAAAAGGCTTGTACTTCCTGCACCTGATAAAAAAACATAAAAAGAGAGGAGGAAAATTAAATTTATAACTTTTTGTGAAGGATCTGCTAGCTTTTAAGAATCCAGCTAACGAGTTATTGAAGAGTCTTGTATAAGCCATGCTCCTTAAAATGCTTAATCTTTTGTAGTTAGATCTAAAAAAAAGAAGAGACAATCTGTGACACACAGGACAGTAAAGTGAACTTGCTTTAATTGCTTGAGCTAGAGCAGGGTCAGATCAGGTTGCTTGCTTGAAGCCACTCCTCTAGCACATGCCCACTCTGCTTGGCAAGTTGGCATGCTCTTCAGGATCTGTTCAGCTAGATCATCTTAGAATAGAAGCCTCTTTGTAAAATGGTAATTTTAAATGCAAGCTAATTTTGTTGTTTGTTATTTTTTGTTGGGTGGAGATTAATCTATGTGTCTAAAGTCTGTATTTATCTTGAATTAGAATAATTACTCTACTACTGTATGTTTACTATTTTTAAAAAAGGATCTTACAAGTTTAGAAAAATTTTATACTTTCATTTACGACCTTCATTTCTCGTCTTGTGGTAAATTCCTGGCCTGCTGTGACAATTACGGATACATCACTCTCTTTAGGTCTGTATCCAGTGCAGCACAAATCCTAATCTATAATTATAATAATTTATTTTATTTTAGTGTCGTTAAAGCTCTAGAACCTTCAGCAGCAGGCGCAACACAAAAACACATCAACAAATGGAGAGGTTAATTACAT